CTATTCTGGTTTTCGATAGTAGAATTGGCCTTTGAAAAGTAAGTAGTTTCACATATACCTAAAAATATCAGATAAAATATTGTATATTCCATTGGTGAAATTCGATTGCTTAAAAATAAATAAGTCATAAATCTAACATTCGTTTAAAAGCCTTTAATCACAAAAGCTCTCACGATTCTATTGTATCGACTGGGTACATTCATTCAGTCCTTGAATAGTTCATTAAAGCTCGCCTGTCAGCAAATATTTAAACCATCAAACCAAACTTGAACGACTAGGGTAAGACCCCTCCGTGCTCTATTCAAGCGGCTCTCGGCCCATAGCCGCAGGGGGTTACAGCATCCCATATTGCAAATTGACATCGCTTGCTCTTTATGTCACCCTGGTACTTTTATTGCATATTTATAGTAGTTTTGGATTCGCAACTAACCTTTACAGTGAGAGACAGTAAGTAAGTAGGCAGTTTGTAGTCCACAAGCTTTCGTTATTATTTGAAGTACGAGAAATACTTGAACATAAATAAAAGCGGTCGGTTGGTCTACACGAATCGTCAAAATCATCTTCCTACTTGAGCTGCGTTCCCGATAACCGTGTGAATTCTTAATGTTCCATAACTGCCCTCAGGGGAATTCGATCACCGCCGGAACACCACTTTTAAAATATGAATCCCTGGTAAAGAAGACCGCACTTTTAACCCTTTTTAGTTTAACTTTGTGTCCTTTAAAAAAAATCTTTCTTAATTTTTTGTTAAAAATTCAAATGACACCTACTTCGAAATTCTGAACACTCGTCTAATCGCAGTACCAGGACCTCATGACTTAGCAGGAATTCATACAAGCTTATGGGATAAAAGCGACGTGGCACGAAAAAAGGGTCGTTCGTAAGTATGATGATAAAAGCCCCTCTCTATATGGATAGCAAGCGTTTTACGTAGGTAGTATATCTATCTATCCTTTTCTATAAAAGTCAGGCACATGTGCGACACGACAAGGACAGCGATTAGAATTAATAATGTAATAGTGAACGAAAATGTTCTTAATTTTTTAGGCGGTAAGAGTTACGCTGCTCTGTATACAATGTGAAGAGATAAAGATGTTGTTTATGTGCCATTTCTTAGAGAAGGCGAAAGGTTTGAGTCCCGTTTGAGCCGTAATGTGCGGCGCTTAGTGCTCCCTCTGGTCTAAGTTAGTTAATGTACGGCGAACACTTGAACCTTTGAGTTTTTGAATAACGATTTTACAATTCAGTAAATTGTTCTTTCAAATCTCAAACGAGCGAGCGACTGTGGCTTAAGACGTCAATTTGGCTAATTCTGCCGTTTTCTCAGAAGCCTAAAACGTATTTAGCCAACATTTGTACCGCACGAGAAGCTTGAGAAGGTTGCACTATACGATCTGTCACGTCGACGTTTCTGCGTGAGATTTTATGGCCACTTTGTCTCGCCCGTAACTAATGCCCCGACTTGCGCGGCTTGATACCGTACGGAAACGAAATGGTAACGTTTAGACTCTTTTGTTTCTTTCTTTATTATTGTGAACGAAAGATGGAGACAAACTTCTCGCTATCTATGATCTCCTGAGATCGTGAAAGGTTGGCCGCATAAATTTAATAATTTCGTCTTATTCGTGTGTCGTATCTGTGAAGCAAATCAATAAATAGATACATATTATTTATTTTAATATTAAATTTTAGCAAGAAGGTTTATCTTCACAAAGGATTCCTTCCCTGGATTCCGATCTTATTATAGTCCGATTCGATCTTACTGTATTTTTGCATTTAGTCTCAAAACTCATTGACAGCACCATCATCATCAAATAACCCAAATAGTTTCTCGCCGGATCATCTAAGTGGGTCGCGATTCCGATCCGGTGATAGATTGATCGAAAACTGCTCTTGATAGGGCTAGTTTTAGCATACCCTTCCAGACTGGGCCCCGTGAGATCGCCCACCGGCGATAGTGAAGCCAATATCCCCTGGAGTCTACTGGCGCATAAGCACACAAAATAATGGGGTTTTTCAAAGAAAAATAGCAATTAGTTGGATTGAGGTTCTTATTATTATTAAATATCTAAATCGGGACAATAAGAGACTAATAATATTGTTACGAATAGATAAACTATGGCGTTCGAAAACGTGACTTCGCCTGATAATAAATCCGGATATCCGGAATATTTCCCAGCGGGTGCCACCGCCGGTCCACTCCGCGTAATTACGCTGCGAATGTTAATGTACCTACGTCTGGTTTATTTAACTCCACCGTGATTATGCTCGCCTGGTACATGGGCCACGCTGTAACAGGACAAATAACCTATATTATTTTATAAATTAACTATATTATTTTTACGCTAAGTAGTTTTCACAATACGTTTTTTTTTTGCCAAATACCCAAATTACCTTAGCTCAAGATTTAAGATTATATTTACCTATTAATGTAGATAGTATAATCTAGTATAATCTTCTTTAGTGTAGTATTAATATTTAAAAAAAAGTATCCTTTCACCGAATAAAATTGTAAATACAGTAAATCGTCAATAACTATAAATAGATAAATAAAATTACCTCAGCATGTGTTGTAATATTATTATGTCTTAGTATATTTTAATATTTACGACTGCCAATAAGTACCATTTGAAAACGAGGTAGATTAATTAAATTAAAATTAGGTAATTTAAACAAAATATAGGCGACGAAAACAAAAGTGAATCGTCTTGTTTAAAATAATTCACAAACGGATAGAAACAACAGCACTGAAATTGCGATAGCCGGATCCGGATCAGTCCGCCGGATACAGGGTCGGTAACGTGAGCGACAATAACCGGCGGGCAAGCAATCAAATTACCGGCGGTCACCGCCACCAGTACCGGCCCGACCTGTCGCTCCATCGACGAACGCTGCATAACCCGTGCTAATGATAATCTGCTTTAAACAAGATACAAATTTGATGCAAAATTTTACGACATTTTATATTACTATTCTGTCCCGTATATCTACTGTAATTATAACTAGTTTTTCGATTTAATCACGCGTTTATTATTTCCGACTTTACGAGTACATGCTTTAGTTCGCGTGGTCGCGGACGACTTTTTTTTCCTACCTATGGTGATAGCCTTGAGAGGCTAATCAATAGTTGAATTTTGTTGTGTATTTTTTATTAATTGTAGATTTTGTATTTTTAATTTGCCTTCTTGTTCTCCTATCTTTGTATTATTATTATTTTATTGCATTTAAAAAAAAAAAAGGACCGACTATTGGTTTGCTCCTTATAATGAAATGTTTTATATTTTACTCTATATTTATGGTAGGTACCCGCTTGGCCATGCTCCTGGCATTCTCGACTTCCATGAGTGACGGTAACCACTTACCATTAGGTGGGTCGTAAGCTCGTCTGTCTACAAGGACAACAAAAAATCGCGTACCTAACTTAAAAAAAGTGACTACGTCTCGTTCCTGCTCCACTGATCTTGCCGTCAAAACTGAAAATAAAATTCTCTTTCATTAGCTCAAATGTCAGATTTCCTAAAATTCATATAAACATTAAAATAAAATCTCACTTTTTAACTCCGACAGAAAGTTTTGGAAACATTAAAACATAGAATATGGTAGATTGGAAAACATATTGAACAAAATCAACTCTCTCATCATATTCTATCCTGGTATATTGACACCATAAGGGTTTGTTAGCTGTGTGGAATGAGCCGATTCTGTAAGGCCTGTTACCATAGAATTATAAAAAGAGCCGGCGCTAAGTATGGGGTGTGTATCAATTAATAGATAATGTTTTTAAAACAAATTATGCATTGAAAAGTTTAATATTAGGGTGGAGTTAACTGAGCTAAATTCACATAAGAATATGGCTACTCTTCTATTTTTCATGTTCAGTGTCGGATCCCATTGTGACGAACACAATGGTCCGGTACCAGGCGTGCAGAACCTATACAGAGATTGACCGATTGCGCAAATTGAATGTCCGTCGAACACGACGACGGCGAGAACACACCATTGTCCTTTCTTCACGTTTCCAATACATAGCCAATATTTCCTTCGGTCACAAACTTGAAGGAAAAAGTGTTCGACAATTTTATATACATACTTACGAGAAATGCTAAGTAATAATAATCAAGGACTCTTAGTGTGTAATTCATTAGATCCGTACATTACATTACCGGTGGTAGGACCTCTTGTGAGTCCCCACGGGTAGGTATCACCGCCCTAACTATTTCTGCCGTGAAGCAATAATGCGTTGCGGTTTGAAGGGTGGAGCAGCCGTTGTAATATACTGAGACCAACTCATACTCAACTCATCAAGGTGGGTGGCGGCACTTACGTTGTAGATGTCTATGGGCTCCGGTAACCACTTAACACCAGGTAGGCTGTGAGCTCGTCCACCCATCTAAGCAACAAAAAAAAATCAAATTTCTTTCTATGTGTTTGTCGTATCTCTCGTGTAGATTACATCTTTAGCACCAGGCTGTCAGAAGTCGACGCAAGCATGAATATAAAAGTTACGTAGCTAGAACGTTCTTTGAAAGACAGGACCACTGAGGCGGGGCGAAAGAAAAGATTTTGATGAATCGGTTGCCGAGATCCAATGGCGTTTACACATGAACGAACAAAGACGTCTCAGTCGGGAGGCCGCTTTGACGAAAATCACAATATTTACCCAAAAAACATTGCTGTATTCAGAAATCTATACTAATACATAAATCTATAGTGGTTTCTACGGATGTTCCGTTATAACTACTGAACCATGCATCCGATTGATTTGAAACTTGATATCTATGTAGAAAATACATGTACTTAATGGATAGGCTAATATTTGTATGAGTGTTGGACTCCGTGTACCAGTTGCGGGGGCGTTAATGATGAGAATCTTTGTGGGGATGAGAAATAATAATTTTAATTTTGAATGCCCAGCGAAGCGGGCGAGTACGGCTAGTCTCTAATAGAACATAAGGTTTTGTGGTAATGTTGTGTTTGTGACTATGTTTGTTTGTTTACAGCTGGTGGGCGGCGAATTCGACATGGAGCTAAATTTCGTGATCCAGGACGCGCAGAACATACAACACATGCTGGAACTCCTGGACCACTGCCCGCCCAGCTTGCAGGTAAGACAAATCTTGCACAGAATTCTAATGTAGTAAAACTATTATGTAGTCCGGATGTCTTCGTGTATCAACACGTGAATTATACTAGACTAGCGGCCCGCTCCGGCTCCGCTCGGGTCTTTAACAAAAATTTCAACGATATTTGACGTTGTTTTATTTTTTTAAATAAAAAAAAACACTTATTGCGGCATATTAAGAAAATAACATTTAAAGCCTTTATTTTCCACAAATTATTATTTTACACAGTATCATTGAATTAAGTAAAACTGAACTCCTCTTTTTTCTCAGTGACAAAGAGTTCAGTCGATTAATATAAGAAAAAATTTTTTTTTAACTAAACAGTTTCAAAGGTTTTATATAAAAAATTACATAAAAAACGTTTTCCTTTATATATATATATTTTAACAAAAGTTGCACAGTTAATTTGCTTATTTTTTTTAAAATTAAAATCATATAACATTTAGAATAAAAAAACAATAACAAAAAACGGATATGTGTGTTTTTTGTTTATTTAATTTATTTTTAAAACGTCACAGAAATATTATAATATCTGCCCTTCTTCTCCATATAAATTTTGTTTGTGCCACATTTCATATAGTCCCCGGCACGTAACTTGGCAAGAGTCGTTAGATGCACAGAAGTCGTTTTTTAGGTCTCTTTGGTTGTCAAGCGGGACGCGGGGAAAGACGTAGCACCGTTCCGAGCGCGCGATTGGTGAGTCAGTCGACCCTCCCCTCCCGCACCGCGTTCACGTTCCGTTCGCTCCGGAGTACACATGCGCCTACTAAATTGTAGGAACCCTTTGTTTATATTGAGTTTTTGTTACGAGTTGTTATTATTGTTTTAAATTTAGTTTTTGTTACGAGTGTTATGCTTTTAAATTTGTTTGCAATGCCAGGACCAAATACCAATGACCATATAGTCGATTCAGTCACTGAGCGTTTTATTATTTACGCCAGTGACTACAGCGACTCTTCGTTATGTCAACGATGAGGAGCCAACTCCTTCCACCAGCTCAGGTGCTACCATAAATTTAATCCAAGGGGTAGCACTATTAGAAAATGATAGTGACGACGGCGTCACATAATTTTTAATATTAAGTATATTATTTTAAATAAACTTCTTAACTTTTAATTGTATTTTATTTATAACACCTAATACACTTCACGAATTCCTCTCTTTTCTTTAACTTTCTTCTAAACACACAGGCTTAAAAACAAATTATGGCAAATAAAAAATGAAATAAAATAAAATTAAATTATATGCGGGCAATAAAAGTGACCATTTTTTGTTGCAATGTGCACTATGCGCGCCAAAACCTTGCCAACTTACGTGCCGCTTACTATACATTTCGGTCCGTCATATTATATCATGTCATATTTACATATATGTAATATATAGATCTTACGTTATGAATATATAGATTAAAAATGTAAATTAAGAAATAACCATTTGCAAACACGTACCTATGAATTTCTTAATGGCTTTTATGATACCATTTAGCGAAAACATTAATACTTGTGATAACGATAGGGTAATAAGCATGATTATGTACAATGCTAATGTATCGTTCGTATCGCGTTAAAATACTCTGATATTTTCTTACTACCTGGTATTTGCGTTTCTGAAAATATACGGTATGGTGATATTATCGGTGAAAACATTGGTTGGAAGTGTTGTAAATTCGCACAGGTATAATATATTGGTATCTACGATCCGTCCTGTTTATTTCATACATTTGAGACCTTATAACTTGTCCAGAGCGTGATCCTATAGTTATTTCAATTAAATTAAAAATGCATGAATCAATAAAGTACAATCTTTCAAACTAAATATACCTCATGTACTGTTTACTATCTGGAACAAGACGCACACTTACCTGAGTGAAGTGACAGACTATTCGTCGTCCTTTTCTAAACTTTTTTACATCTACCTTTTTGTAGTTCATGAAGGCCACGCCCTCTGAGGATCGGGTTTATATCAAATCCGAAGTGCTCGAGAACACTTCTTCAAATTCATGTTGCCTTGTTGAAACTAAGTGAAGCATCAACCCCTTTGATAGGTGTGTGTTAATAGATGCTAAATTTTTTTTTGTTAGTCGTCAAGCTGTTATACAATTTATTGGTATAATTTACTTATTTTGCTTTTTGTATATCTTTGCTTCTTAATGATACCATTCTTCAGTTAATGACGACGTTCTTGTTTGTTATGCTATCCTGGTACACGAAAACCCTTTCTATAAAGGGCTATATTTGTAACATTTAATAACATTAACTTCATAACAGTTATCCTAAAGAGATCCTCCTGGTCTAATCTTCAAGTTATTCAGGACTCATTACGAAACATTTAAAATGTATTTTTGTACTCGGAATGCGCGTAAAAACGTAACAACGAGCGTAAATCACCCCGAGCATTAGTATAATTGCCATTTCGAATACCGTAAACAATATCGTGTATCGGAATCGCATAAATATGGATAAGCGCTTTTTCGATGCAATGTTCCCCGCCGGATTATGCCAGTTAGCGTGTTTGTTATTTCGCAGAATAAATTTGAACCTTTTGTTCCGAACACGATTTAATGTTAAATGGAATAGCGGACAGCGCGAGGCGATGCCGTGCTGATTTGTACATGTTCATTCCTAGATTGAATTTGTTTGCTTGAGATTCTGCCTTTGGTGTTGGATCCGTGGTCCTTGAATTGGGCAGGGTATTGGGTAACTCAGGTGAAATAAGAGTTGGAAAAAATCGTAGCGTTTACCCGAATAATACATCAGGAGTTACTTCAACAATGGAACTAATGATTTATAAAAGTGTTAAATGCTTTTTCTCTATGAAATTTCTTTATATTTGGTACACAAATCGTAAAATGAAGAATGTTTATTCCCCACCTCAATCTTAAAGATAGCCGAGTCACCCCGTACAATGTTCACAAGGCTCCCAGAAGAACGTGGAGTTTGTTTTTCCTGTCTTAATCTAATTAAGTGATACATCACGTGCTCACGGAGTACCAGGATCACAGCGACACGACGACAGTCTCGAGTGATAGACGACGGGGGCTGAGTGCCCAGAATTTTCACAAAACCAGCCAATGGGAGATATATTTCTCAAGAGATGCTTTGTACAATGAAATAACATAATTTGATATTTTTTTCTAAGTTTCCTCATTATCTAAGATGTTGAAATAAACGTAGTATGTTTGTTGGTGATTATTTTGTACAATATTGCTGGTTATACATATTCATTGAACTTTTGAATCCTAATTAAAAATATAATGTCAGTTTGACTTTATTAAGGAAATACAGGAAAATTAATAAATCGTTGTTATATTTATCTTTTCGTATTTCGAAATCAAAATATTGGTGTAAATGTTAATAAGAATAATAAAACGCGATTCCTAGAACAAAGAACGGATGGAGTAAACGAAACACCAATAGAAGAAAGAGAAAAAGAAAAATTACTCCATATAGATTTTTTTCCTACCTATGCTGATAGCCTTGAGAGGCTATATCAGCATTACCCTAGTGCAGTGATTCTCAACCTTTTTTTTGTTGCAGCACATATTTAACGATTTCAAAATTTGGCGGCACACAAAAAAAAAGATAAAAATTATTTACTTACTACAACACACTGCATAAATAGTTTATCAAACAATTTTAATATACGAAATAAACTACAATATACTAATTTTTTTTTGTGGATTTAAATATATTATATTCATGTTTAAAATATTTTTCTTTTAAAATGATATAATTTGGCGGCACACAAAAGTGCCGCGGAACATTGTTTGAGAATCACTGTCCTAGCGTGTAGGTGAGCTCGCGGAGCTCAAACCGGAGTTTTGCTAACTGGCCCTAGCAAGAGCAGTGCTTCCCAGAATCTACCACCGGATCGGAAACGCGACCCACTGAGACGATCCAGCGAGAAACTCAGTGGGCTCCATATGGGACGTTGCAATGCCTTTTCTAATGAAGATATAACCCAAGAGTGTTAAGCTAAGACAGGTGACCGGTCGTAGCTCCAAAGTCCTTATGCGGCATGACAAGAAGACATGCTGCGACGATCTTACGTGTAGATTAAGGACCAGAAGACCGCATACTAAAGCTACTTGGTTGTTATGCTATGTAAAATACATTAGACTAAAAAGTTTCACTCGCTATATTTGAAACTTTAATGAGCCGTGTGCGTCTTAACTCATAATGAAGTACAAAGTTGGACGGGAACGAAGATTGGAAAGGATAAAGCCGCACACCCAGTGTTACTCGGTGATATGTATAGACCAGTCGTCATGGCCTAAAGGATAAGACGTCCAGTCCCTTCGTATGTAGCGATGCACCGGTATTCGAATCCCGCTGGCGGGTACCAATTTTTCTAATGAAATACGTACTTAATAAATGTTCACGATTTACTTTGACGGTGAAGGAATAACATCGTGTAATAAAAATCAAACTCGCAAATTATAATTTGCGTAATTACAGGTGATAGGACGTTTTTTTAGGTTCGCACGGGTAGGTATCACAACCCTGCCTATTTCTGCCGTGAAGCAGTGACGTGTAACTATACTGAGACCTTAGAACTTATATTTCAAGGTGGGTGGCGCATTTACGTTGTAAATGTCTATGGGCTCCAGTAACCACTTAACACCAGGTGGGCTGTGAGCTCGTCCACCCAGCTAAGCAATAAAAAAAAAACAATTATCACGGAGGAAAAAATTGCAAAATTCCGCAAGAGAGGCTCGAACGTCCCGCCGACTCGTAATCTCGCCGAGATTGTTCCGCTAACGGTTGAAGAATGTAATATAATTACAAGTCGTCTCGTTAGAGCCCGTAAAACTGCTTTTGTGGACGAGTGGATTGTACAACTCNTGAGCTCGTCCACCCAGCTAAGCAATAAAAAAAAAACAATTATCACGGAGGAAAAAATTGCAAAATTCCGCAAGAGAGGCTCGAACGTCCCGCCGACTCGTAATCTCGCCGAGATTGTTCCGCTAACGGTTGAAGAATGTAATATAATTACAAGTCGTCTCGTTAGAGCCCGTAAAACTGCTTTTGTGGACGAGTGGATTGTACAACTCCACGCTTCCACTGACGTCCTGGTTTAATTTTTTTTAATTTGTATTAAATCAGTTATAAAACTCAACGTAGTTATTGCAATATAATGATTAAACAAAACATTTCTTAACGAAATACAGTAATATTGATTGTGTCGATCCTTATACAAACCGAAAATAATAATAATAACGATTGTAAAAAAAGAGAGATTATGCTTTATTGTACACAAAATAAATAAATAAATCCGAAAATTAAATACCAAAAAGTACAATTGACGGTACAGATACAAAAAATCAAATTGAAAATAATATTTAGTACTTTCATTAATTGACTAAAACATTTCAAACAGTTAAAACGGCTCAGATAAATAACCCACAAAACCCGCGCCTCGTAATCGTGTTTGGACCGGAGCCTCGCGTGGTATAAAAACGATACTTTTAATTAACGTACCCAAATAAGTGTAAAAAATAAACTATATACATTTGTTTTTTAAATATACGGGCGCTTGTGGGTCATGTACTCACACCACATCCGCGCTGGCACGAATCAAGCCGTGCTGAATTAAAAACGCGAACCATGTGAAAGCATTTCATTAAAAGTATTTCCCTCCGGTCCGCGGATCGTGTCACACAGCCCTCTGTTTATTTCAAACAGAGTTTTGAATGAGGACGTTCGGATTTTGACGCACTACTCCGGATTTATCTGTAATGAAACCGCGAGTGGCCAGCGGATAAATACATTTTTGGACAACTAATAATATTGTTTAGGATCTGGCAATATCGGTCGGTATTCAGCCCCGATTAGCTATGGCTTTTTTGAATATTTGTTTCATAGGGGGACTTTTGGCGGGAACGTGAGGAGTGAAGTTGTGTGATTTGTTTTATTTTGTCTATTTAGTGTTTCTTCTTATTTAATTTCATCTCAGTTGATTAATGTTTTAAAATAATCATCTTCATTTCAGCCCAGTCCTGGGTTCCAATAACCACTTAACACCAGGTAGGCTCGTCCACTCACCTAAGCAATAAAAAAAAGCAGAACTTGATCGATAAGACAGAAACATGTGCACCCGTGTGATTATCATACGGTAGTACTGTATTTACTGGGAGTAGGACCTCTTCTGAGTCCGCACGGGTAGGTACCACCACCCCACCTATTTCTGCCGTGAAACCGTAATGCGTTTCGGTTTGAAGGGTGGGGCAGCCGTCGTAACTATACTGAGACCTTAGAACTTATATTTTAAGGTGTGTGGCGCATTTACGTTGTAGATGTCTATGGGTTCCAGTAACCACTTAACAACAGGTGGGCTGTGAACTCGTCCACATACCTAGGCAATAAAAAAAATTAAAAAAAAATGGTAAAAGACTGACCACAAAGTCTAAAATGTTAAAATTAGATTCATTGGCAACCCTGAGTCGTCAAGGCAATATTTCAGTAAGCTATAAATGTCCCGCGGTTTCATTTAAACTTTTTAACTCATTGCGAATGTATAACTCGCTACCGGCTTAGTATTTCATTTGCTAAGCCGCCATGTTGTTTCTGTATAATTGAATTTTGTTCGTGTACTTTTCGGTCAGGAGGGCTGTCGATGTATTTGTAGTAATAATAATATACCTACTTGTGTATAGTTTTAAAACCGAAAAACTCGCTTGAATAGGAAACCGACCTAAAAGTAAACTACATTTTATTTAATCTTAGTTATTACTAGTCACGATATTAGACAATTGAAAATTGTTATTGTTTTTAAGTTGTTGAAAATTACTTTGATATTTATAGATTCCGTTTCAAAGATATACGGTCGGGTAAAAAATGGCGTGGAAAAAAGGTAGTATTTTAAAATTACTACTTTTGTAATACGCTTTTTTACTGTTAACAGCAATTGATGTAGGTATAAATAAAAGTGCTAAGAGACGCATCATAGCTACGAATTATGTAATAGTAATAGAGTATGAAACCTACCGTGTATCTAATGCAATCATGTCGATATCTTAGTCCATCTGTGCGTGCACTTAGTACTTCTAAATAATGCGTTTTGTTTTAATTCAATTATCACTATCAATTAGACAAATCCTTCATGATTTTTTATGTAAAATACATGCAAAATTATCATAGATCTAAAAATATTAATAAATTTTACTACAATGACTAATGAACCAGCTCTCTGGCTATGCTGGGTAGGGGGTTAAGTAAGGCTCGCTGTCATCCCACTGAGTTTCTCGCCGAATCTTCTCAGTGGGTCGCGTTTCCGATCCGGAGGCAGATTCAACGAAGTACTGCTCTTGCTAGGGTTAGTGTTAGTATTTTTTTTCTCAGGTTGAGCCCGTGAGCTCACCTACCCGTCCGCGTGTAGAAATCTGTATCGTTTCGTATGTCGTATCACTCTTGTCAGAGTACCGATCGATGTTATCTTTGGTTCCAGGCCGAGATATGGTCGGTGTTTATCGCGATACTGCGGAAGAGCGTCCGCAACCTGCAGGCGTGCACCGACGTGGGACTCATCCACCACGTGCTGCAGCGGCTACCGCGAGCGGAGACCGTCGTCGCCGGTATGTATACGCCTTTATATTATGTTCCGATCACTGCTAAATGTATCTACGTACTCGGAGATATGGTTGAACTTGGCTTGAAAGCTATACAACTTCAGAGTCAAATAAAGTAAGACATTCATGAGTTCTAATTATTATTACATCGAACATTGAATACTGTAATTGATTCTTATGTAATATAGATTCTGTAAATATTATCTTAGAAGTCATGGCCAAATCGAAATAAAAAAAAAGTGCGTGCGTACAAAGTATACATGTCAGAAGTGAAGCTTCTTTGGCGAACTAATTTATAAGTCTTGCTTATATTTATACAAATCTAAAACTTTAGATTTCCGAGACTTAGAGGAAGGGAAAAAGGAAGATATGTTCCCGCCAAAAGTCTGTCAAATGTCAATCTCAAACCTCAGTGTTGACAGTCACATTATGTTTAGATTTCTTAATTGTAAATGACTAATATTTTGCCAATTGAATTGACTAATTTAATTTCATGCTATTTGATTAATGTCTAAATTCTTTTCATTTCATTTCAATTCCTATTAACATTTTTCACAAAAAAAATATAAAATATTAGGCTGTATGGTATGATACATTTGCCTTTCCAGTTGGAAAAATACAACAACTACTACTACTGACATTTGACAAGTACTTAAGACACTTCCGTTGCATACCTGCGTGACGTTACATCTGTAAAATTTTTACCCTCATGCGCCTAAAGAAGTTTCACTTCAAAAATATATATGTAGCAGAAATTTGGTAGTCTGGGGGATATCCGTGGTAAACTCATAGTTTGTATCGTTCGTAGCCTTATCAGTAAGACGGCTAGCCTGCTTGTCTGAAGTCATGGAAAGGATTGCCCGTTTTTCAGTTACTTTCTACTTTAGGATTAAAATTTGAGAATAAAATCACATGACTCAAGACCCGGTTGTGATGAATTAAATGAGCGTGAAATTTAATTGAAGAAAACACACGAAAAATGTATACATACTTCTCAAGATCTTATAACCATTATCTAATACAATTCCTGAGCTTTCAAATACCTACTTTTTTTTTTAATGAATGTACTCAACCCTTTACAACTTTGACCTCTCTACACTCCTATAAATTTTGCTTACCATAAATTCCCATTGAAAAACTACGTATACAAATCGGGTTAAAAAAATAAAAGAGCGAGACAGCAATGTATCCGGTGGATGGTATCGGTGTGTTTAGTGCAAGGGGGCGAACGCCTATGTTTTATCTCATTCGAACTTTTTTTTCTTACCTGCGCCCTTAAGTGCAACCACCACTTGTATACTTCTTGAAGCGTTATGCTATCCTGGTAATCCTGAGAAATTACTTTCTTCAAATGGCGTCTTAAGGTTCACAAGTGTGTGTGTGGGTTATACCGTGGTAACATTGATATGCCGTCACTTCACTTCACTCTATCTATCTATCACTTCTGTCATACTTCTGTCTTCTTTCAAAAACTTGCGAATATTTCCCAGAGATCTCTCATATAGTTATGTTCACCTGGTATTTGTGAGAAAAATAAAAATTAAGAACCCTTATAAAAATAAAAAAATATATAAATTGTGTCAGAAAAAAGAACAAAAATCCATCCTCTACTGCCATTATGGTGCCCTGGTAAGCTTGAGAAACACGATTTGAGTCTGGGATATACGTTAAATTATTAAGAACTCCGTGAGAAACATTTGACGCAACCAGAATCGAACCTACCATAATTTTACTTTTTACCACTCATCCACCACCAAAATTTTACTTTTTACCCACTCATCAAAGAAGCAAATTAAACTTTATCTTCGAAGACTAGATTGTCTCTTTTTCTGTTGGTTTTGTTCCAATTCCATAGTGAAAAAAATTTACTGCAGACGGCAAGTTTTGTATTCACCTCTTACATAATATGGAGTCCTGGTACTAAAATGATTGTTAACCCCTCCCTTCATTTTATAAAAAAAGTTTTTTTTTTACTAGGTATAGTTTACTCATATATAATAATAAAATTATACGTTATATTTAAAAAAATATATATTTACCGAATAGTTTACTGTTTTGACATTATATTATCTGAAATTCTGATTTTGGAAATTAATATGAAATCTTTATATACCAAAATGAATTGCTGTTCGTTAGTCTCGCTAAAACTCGAGAACGGCTGGACCGATTTGGCTAATTTTGGTCTTAAATTAATTATATAGGTCCAGAGAAGGTTTAAAAGGTTAGATAAATATGAAAATGCACGGAATATAAATAAAAATAACAATTTTGTTCTCCATTTGATGTGTCCCCCGTCGGACGGATTCCTTTTGTTTATTGTAAGTTTATTTTATACAAAACTTTCGATTGAGGCAGTACGAAGTCAGCTAGTATGACATAAATAAGAGAAGTGTAAAACGCAAAATTATTGAAATATTTTGTGGAATACATACATATATACATATGTATGCCATATCCATACATACATATTACATATTATTATGTAGAAAATATTACGGGAATGTCGTTTAGATTATATTCTGCAGTGTTATTGCTATTGTTGTCTCACGGACTTGAGAAAACACGCGCGAGCGCATATGCAAGTATGTATATATCTTTAACAAGCAAACACAATGAATTTTTAGAGTTGCTTGTTCCACAGAAAATGACTAATTTCACTGTCGATTCCTTCTACAATTCCTTGGGTTGTGATCTCCTGGATTAATTGCGACAAAACAATCTATTTTGTGCTGTGTTTTAGGTCACCTAGGGTTTTATAGCACCCGGCTTCAGTTTTATGTTCATAGAGTACCCTTCTCAAAAAATATACAAAGTCATAGAATTACGAGCACCTTTATTTTCAACAAACTAATCACGAAGATTTCTGTTTTTTTTCTAAAGCACGAAGTCATTGTTACGGCGCTCGTTCTCAGCTCACCTCCTATTGTGTCATGCTAGCCTAATACCTCGCGTGTCGTGATTCATCATGCTCCTTATTCCGCGTTACTTTTTGCAGCCATAAGAAATATAGGTCAGTGTTTCCGTGTAATGAAGAAGTGTAGAATGTCAGCTCTCTAAGCGTCGTGTTGAATTACACCTCATTTGCTGTTAAGTGCGTTCCCTCGTCCGTGTCTCATTAATAATTCTAATGCAACGGTAAAAGGCCATCTGTGGGCCCAAGTGACACTTTCATTTTTGTTGAATTTCTTACAAATGTTATATTTTATTATTAATCCTAATCTTAGTTCGTTGTGTGTATTTTTTAAAATGAATTTTTATGCATTAATCAAAGCGTTCCAGGACTCTCTTTTCATATGCTCGACGATTTTGTCTTTCACTTTTATAGATTTTATACTCGTAACAATGGCATAAATACTCATTTCCATTCTTTTTTAGTGAAATATTTATATTTGGAATGGTGTACACGTGGCCAATATTACTTCTTTCCGTCTATGCGATCCTAGTTGTTATGTGAACATGAAGGAATTCAAGATTTCAGATTCAGAAATTTTGAATAGATTTTTTTTCTGGATATTTTCTTTATATTTGCTATTTTAGAATTTATTGATATATTTACACCAAAGAACCCTCTCTGGTTGCTGAAACAAAGACTTTGAGAGTGTGGGACGTAATTAATTATGAAACTCTCTTGTACCTATTAATGTAAATAATATCTAGTTAAAAAACACAATACTATTCTAATAATAATTAATTTATTAAACAAAATTATTAACTTGTGAAACATTTCAAAGTTAATTAAACCGACAATTTCGTTTCTAACAAACATTTAAATAATTCTGAAATAAATGTTGATGTAATGTAAAAATCTAAAGAAACAACCCAAGCATTATGAAACAAAAACAAATATCAGTCTCGATAGAAATAAGCCTTCTTTGGAAAAGAAATAAAACTACCTCTCCACTTTGTGATTTTGTATGCAATCCTGGTAGGCGTATGAATAAAACCATACCATACAGAAGATGCAAAAATGAAAGTGCACTTTAAAAAAAAAAAAAGTGTGCAATTCACACGTGGTAGAAGTGAAACCTTCCAAAATTAAAATACAATTATCCTAAACGTCTTAAGTATATGTAAAATTTTGTCATTAGTAAATAATTGTAAGGTAGCGCTCTCTGTGAATTGATATTTTAATTTCACGTATAATCCTAAATTAAAATTCACTACATGAGCCTTCATACACACGTTAGTATTAAAAAAATCTCACAGATGGCGCTGTATTAAATAGTATGTATATTTCTGTCTCATTCTTTGCTGGCTTCATCCTACACATTTTTGTATTTGTGTCTCTTACCTGTCGTTTTTTCCGTTGCATCCGGTTTGAAATCACAACGATTCTAAAGAAGTTTTCACTTCAATATTTTCCTCGAAAACGTACAAATAAAAAGGTAGGTAGCAGTCTAAAAAATAGCTAAGAAAATACATGAATTTTTAATCTTACTGTGCACGTAATATGATTGCTCTGTACAACGATTTCAACAGAAATAACAAGACTAAAAACTTCCCGTAAATTTATGATGTCCTGGTAGTCGTGAGTACAATTTATTTTTTGAGCAATTATTTATCCACAGGCACCGAGTAAAAATTATAAAAAAAGTCACCATCACTGAAGCTAAGGTCATTAGATGGTAAAATGGACGATCGAAACTTTTCGTAGTCGTTACGGTTACTTTTTAAATCTCGAAAATATTTTGAGTTTTTCCCGAATCCGATGCTTACTTCATCTTCTTTAGTGTTGTCGTGTTTCATTTATTATAATGAGCTGATAAATCACAAATTGGTAATAATCGTAAGTAAAACACATTTTTTACCGTAAAGCATTCATTGAAGTCTATTTAGCTGATGGTCCTGATAGGTTGGAGTAACTACTAACCATCAGGCAAATCTTGTTATTGTTTACCTACAATTTTTGCAAGAAAACATATAGTGACGTAGTTACGGGCACTCGATTAATAAAATGCACTAAAACAACAAGATATTTTAATGTCTCATAGAAATAAAATTTTAAA